TAGTCTGGAGAGCAAAAGAGCTTAGGGACAAAACCCAGGTCCTGAGTTCAAGCCCCACAATCAATCAATCAATCAGTCTGGGAGCTGGGTGGGGGAAGAAGGGCAGGATAATAAAGTCTAACACTTTAATGATGGGCAAATGCGCTGCACACTGTTAAAACCCATAGTCACCCATAGTGACCCCTAATACACTGTGGATTTAGTTAATAGCAATTGGTCAACATTTCCTGATTGCTTGACAAATGCATTATGTTCATGCAGATGTAAATAATGCAAGAAACATTGAGGGGATAGATGTAAGTGAGGGAGTACATAAGGACTTACTTCCCATTAGTTTTTTTTTTTTTTTTTTTTTTTTGTCGGTCATGAGGCTTGAACTCTCGGCCTGGGCGCTGTTCCTCAGCTCTTCAGCTCAAGGCAAGTGCTCTACCAATTGAGCCACAGTGCCACTTCCGGTTTTCTGGTGGTTTATTGGATATAAGAGTCTCTCGGACTTTCAAGCCCCGGCTGGCTTTGAACTGCTATCCTCAGCTCTCAGCCTCCTCAGTAGCTAGGATTACAGGTGTGAGCCGCCAGTGCTCAGCTTCTGGTTAGTTTTTTTTTTCCCCCCCCTGCCAAGTCTAAAACTGATTTAAAATCTATCCATCCCCTGCAGTTGCTGTTACTTCTTCCTAAATATCATTCCCAGAAGCCAGGCACTGGTGGCTCATGCCCATAAACTTTTACTACTTGGGAAGCTGAGGATGGTAGGATCACAGTCGGAGATCCGAGAGATCCTTCTCTATGACCTGCGTGGAGTCATATAGAAAAATATTCAAGGTAGTGCGACCTCTAAAACAGGAAGTCACACAATAATTCCTAGTCTTTATAACGCTTAGGTGTTATAAAAGTAATATTTCAGCATGCATATGCATACAAAATTTCTCCAAGGATTCACAAGTCTTGGCTAACACGGCTTGGTTGTAGAGTTAGGGAGAAATATCATGCTTTCAAAGTGCATTTATCAAACACAAATCGCAATACCTCCCCGCACAGTGAATGGCTCGTACCACACACCAACCTATCTGTGTTTTCTTGTTTTTTGAGGGGCTTGGAACCTAGAGGCAACTCAAGAAATGGTAAACATCATCAATAGGAAAGCGAAGGGGCAGGAATGAGTATTGAAAATGCCAAAGATTTCCTGTGGTTGTAAGTCTGTTCTGAAGAGGAAGTAACAATAATTGGTTTGAATGGTATCTTTTGCTTTTTGGTTCTGTGAAAGAAAAAAAAAGACTTAGGTGTTTTAACTGACTAGCAAATTCAATAGGAGCTGTGGTAGGCATGTGAACACTTAAATTGCATTAATAGAGGTGATGTTCAATTGCTGATGTGTATTGTTCTCCTCTCTGGCAGGAACACAGCTGGAACAATAAACGACAGCATTTATTATAAATGTATCATGTTCACAGTAAAAAAAAAATGGTACAAATTGTATAAACTAAGTGGTGGCAATTACCTCCTCTTTCTATCAGGTCTCTGCGGTTGGTTGGATAATCTGGGATTTTTTTTCCCCAAATACAAACATTTTATGGATGGATGGAATGTTCTTAAACAAAATAAATTGCTTTTGCCTTTGTTTCTACGTGATTGACATCTGAATTTGGAGATGTCCCTTAGCTTCCTTAATTGGCTCTTCACACAAGGACATTTGTCACATCCAAAATGTAGATTTAAAAAGCAGAACTTGCTGGTAAGCCAGTGGCTCACATCTGTAATCCTAGTTACTCAGGAGGCTGAGATCTGAGGATCTGAAGATCGTGGCTCGAAGCCAGCCTGGTCAGAAAAGCACCTGTGTGGAGCAGACAAGTCAAGCAAGAGTGTGAGTCCCTGGGCATTCCAAATTTGGCACACTGGTGCAAGGTCAAGAAAGAAGGTCTCTCAATGGAGGCTGGAGTATATTTACTTCAGTCCAATCACGTTGTGAGGCTGGGCGCCCGGGGGACGGACCAGCTCCTTTCCTGGATGTCCACCATGCCAGATGTCTAGAGCCAGTGCAAGGAGCAATTCTGTACACAGGGCTCTTCACTCGCCCGATAATGCCGGCCAGAGACAATGGCAATCCACCGTACCATGTGTCCGGGGAGGTTTAATACCAATGCAGTTCCTCCTCTGTGGAAACCTACAGCACACATGTGAACTGAAGGCCTGGAAATTCCCTAGAGAGTCTCTGGTTCAAGTCCAGGTCCAAAGGCTGAGGAGTCTGGAGGGTGATGGTCCATGGAAGGCAAAAATGGGAAGGTTGTGGCTTGAAGTTGGCCGAGGGAAAATCCTGAGAATCTATCTACAAAAGAATCCCAGCTAGGGAAGAGATGTGACGGGTAAACCAAAGGAGGAGGCTGCAATGCTTGGTAAGAAATGTATGCATTATCTTGCCCATGTAATTGTAACCCCTCTGTACAGTATGTTCACAAATAAAATAAAATAAAATTAAAAAAAAAAAAAAGAATCCCAGCTACTCAGGAGGCTGAGATCTGAGGATCACAGTTCAAAGCCAACCCAGGCAGGAAAGTCTAAGACTCTCATCTCCAATTAATCACCAGAAGTGGCACTGTGGCTCAAGGGGTAGAGTGCTTGCCTATGAGCTGAAGAGCTGAGGGACAGAGCTCAGGCCCAGAGTTCAAGGCACCCACCCCCCCAAAAAAAAGGTTTTGGAAGAGGGAGGTGAGTCACTTCTGGGAAGCAAAGGCCTTTGACAGCTCCAAACAGGGGCAGAATATTAAACTTTGAAATTTGTGAGATAACTCTGAAAGAACCACCATCTGTAGGTGCTGAGCCAGTCCAAATTGTTCAGATCACAGAGAAACACACAGTTAATTTTTAAACAGCTTTGGTGAGCTATAATTGGCATAAAATGAACCATGAGTATTTAAAATGTACAATCTGCTAAGTTCTAATACATTTGTACACCTGTGAAACTACCATGGCAAATGAGAATGAATCCATCTATCACCCCCCAAACTTTAGTTCTCAGGAGGCTGAGATCTGAGGATCGAGGTTCAAAGCCAACCCAGGCAGGAAAATCCATGAGACTCTTGCCTCCAATTAACCACAAAAAGCTCAAAGTGGAGCTATGGCTCAAGAGATATGAATGCCAGCTTTGAGCTTTAAAAAGCTATGGGACAGGGCTGGGAAGATGACTCAGTGGTAGAGTGCTTGTCTCACATGCATGAGGCCCTGGGTTCGATTCCTCAGCACCACATAAGCAGAAAAAGCTGGAAGTGGCACTGTGACTCAAGTGGTAGAGTGCTAGCCTTGAGCTGAAGATCTGAGGGACAGCGCCCAGGCCCAGCGTTCAAGCACCATGACTGGCAAAAGAAGAAAGAAAAAAGCTAAAGGACAGTGCCCAGGTCCTGTGTTCAAGTTTTAGGACTGGCACACACACACACACACACACACACACAAAGCCAAATAAAAGCACCAAGACCTGAGTTCAAGTCCCAGTAGAAGCACAACAACCTCCTCCCCCCTCAAACCTCCCTCCTCATTTACGCCATGTATTTGCTAGTTGTCAAAGTCTTTAACCAAAACAATAAAGGAATAATTCCAGGCACACTTTCAACAATTGGTCGCCAAATTGGTAGCCAGGGAACCACAAACAATCCTGTAGCGCCTGCTGGCAATTTTTATTCCATTCATATAAACTTAATGGGGGGGCTGGGAAGGTGGCTCAGTGGTAGAGCGCCTGCCTTGCATGCATGAGGCCCTGGGTTCGATTCCTCAGCACCATATAAGCAGAAAAATCTGGAAGTGGCACTGTGGCTCAAGTGGTAGAGTGCTAGCCTTGAGCTGAAGAGCTGAGGGACAGTGCTCAGGCCCAGAGTTCAGGCCCCGTGACTGACAAAAACAAAAAACAAAAAAACTTAATGGGAACCAGGCTCCCTGCAGCCCCTCTGTGTAGCTGGGGTCCTAGGCACTGGGCCGTGAATGCGCCTGTGCCCCAGGACCCTGGGGCCCTGGGATTCTGGGGGGGGGGGGGGGGTTAATGCACAGCTGCTGGGCCAGGGCCTGTGCCCAGAGCCCTGGGATCCTAGGCCTGGGGGTTAACGTACCGCTGTTGGGCCAGGGCCAGGGCCTGTGTCCCGGGACCCTGAGGCCCTGGGATCCTGGGCGTTAATGCACCGCTGCTGGACCAGTGCCAGGGCCTGTGCCTGGCCTGGCGCAGCCGCAGTAGCCCGGGTGCAGGGACTCAGGTCCCACACGTTGCAGTTGGGCCAGATGGAAAGGTGAGGCGGGGCTGGGGCGGGGGGGGGGGGGGGAGGGGGTGGGGCGAGGGGGGAGGGGGTGGGGCGGGGGGGAGGGGGAGGGGCGGGGGGAAGGAGAGCGAGGGAGAGACACAAGGGGAGGGAGAAGAGGAAGGGCGCTTCCAATGGAAAGATGGGGACACAAGGAAAAGGAGAGTATGCAAATGATATGCAAAGCAGGTGCCGGACCCAGGCCCCGTAGGCGTCCCCTCCCCACCTTCCCCCGCCCCAGGAGGTCGCCCACAGGGAAAAGAATGGGTGCACGCGAGTCTCGAACGCTTCGATGGGCGCTGGCCACCTCTGTGCCTAGCCTCGGGACCGCGAGGACCACGGAGCCGGACTTAGGTGCGTCTGGGGCGTGGCCTGGGCGCCAGGGGCGCGGCCTGCTCGGATCCGGGCGCGACTGGGGCGTGGCCCACGGGGAGGAGGGTGTGTCCGGGGCGTGGCCTGGCCGCTAGGGGGCGTGCCTTGCGTGGATTCGGGCGTGTCGGGGCGTAGCCAGCTGGCGGGGGCGTGGCCGGCGGCACGTGATGCGCAGCGGGGGTATTAAGCGGCGCACAGCCGCCGGGTCTCGAGCTGGAGCTTCCCCGAGTGCCAGCACCCCCACCGGTCTCCCCGGAGCAGCAGACCGCGAAGGTCACCCGCCCGCCGGCCCCGCCGCACCTCCGCCCGCCCGCCGCGCGCCTCCCGCCTCCCATCCGCGCACGCCGTCCGTCCACTCCCGCCGCAGCCCCGCACGGCCACCGGCACCATGAACCAGATCGAGCCCGGCGTGCAGTACAACTATGTGTACGACGAGGACGAGTACATGATCCAGGAGGAGGAGTGGGACCGCGACCTGCTCCTGGACCCGGCCTGGGAGAAGCAGCAGCGCAAGGTCAGCCGCCCGCCGCGAGTTCGCGCCGACCCGGGGAGCGCGGGGGGCGGACAGCCGGGAGGGGGCGTACGGCCAGGGCGCGCGGGGGGGACAGCCAGGGGGCCGCACGGCCAGGGCGCGCGGGGGGCGGATAGCCGGGAGGGGGCCGCACGGCCAGGGCGCGCGGGGGGGGGGGACAGCCGGAAGGCACATGGCCGAGGCGCGCGAGGGGACAGCCGGGGGGGGTCGCCTGGTGCAGGCGGTGTGAGCCCCGTGGGGAGGGACGCACGGCCGGGGCGCGCGGGGGGGGGTGTACAGCCGGGGGGACGCATGGCCGGAGCGCGTGGGGGGGGACAGCCGTGGGGGGCCCACGATGGAGACGGCGTGAGCCCCGAGTGGAGGGGCGCACGGCCGGGGCACAAGAGGGGACAGCCGGGTGGGTGGCGCCCGGTGCAGGCGGCCGGAGCCCCGTGGGGAGGGCGCACGGCTGGGGCGGGAGGGAGTCAGTGGGGGAGGGGCGCACACGGACGGGGACCTCGGGTGGGGAGCAGCCGGAGGGGGGCGCACGGCCGGGGCACAAGAGGGGACAGCCGGGTGGGTGGCGCACGGCGGGGGCGCGCGGGGAAACAGCCGGTGGGGGCGTCTGGTGCAGACAGCCCGAGCCTCGTGGGGAGGGCGCACGGCCAGGGCGCACGAGACACGCGCGCGTGCGTGTGTAACACAGTTACCCAAGGAACAGGAGTGTGAGGGGAGGGCTTCCCTGCGCGAGGCTTAAGCCCCCAGACCCCTGAAACTGTGACCCTGACTGCCGGGCTGGGGACGACCCCGCCCTCCCCTCCCCGACGGTGAGCGTCTCTGGCGCTCCGGGTCGCCCAGTCAGGGGCTTTTCTGCTCTCCGAGGGGCGGCGGGACCCTGGACAGCCGCTGGTCGAGTATCGCGGGTTTCCACACGCTATTTATAGTTCCCTGAGGTCAGCGCCAGGAGGAGCGCGGGGAGGAGGGCGCGGCCGGCCTCGCAGGCCCCCGGCCCAGCCCTCGCGGGGCCCGCTGGAACATTCCGCTGTGGCAAACCCTCATCTCCATCGTCTTGGCCGAGCCGGCGTTCCACCTGTTCGCTGGACGGTCAGGCAGGACGCACGGACAGGCCAGCCCGCGCTGGGCAGCAGGGCCACGGCAGGGGTCCGGCAACCCCCCCCCCCCCCCCACCGTCCCTCCAGCCTCCAGGAGCCCGGCGCCCCGGCTTTCCCTAGCTCGGGGTGGGGGGTGGTGGCTAGTCTTGGGAGGAAGTCTGGAGAGCACAGGTGACCCAATGCGTGAACTTGTGCAAGTTCCTAGGAAACGGCCGTATCCCAGGCTGAGCCCTTGGTAGCCAGGAGGAGTGAGGTCTAGTGCTTGGATAATCACCCAATAACCAAGCACTACTTTAGACATTTTTACATTGTCTTTAAGTAGTTATACAAAGGAGTTGCCATTTAACAAACGAATACAGTGCCTCTTGATCCAGGTCACCCTTTTCAACATTCTGACCCAGTCCCCTGCACTACTCTCCTATCAGGATTTCTCTTGTCTACTTTCCTAATACTACCATTTGCCTTTATTATTTCTTTAAAAACACCCTATAACTAAGGTGTATTTTGGTCTCTGTTAGTTTCTTAGTACAGCTTTGGCCATCTCTATCTTTCTTGGAAACAAGATGTTGATGGTGATAGAAGTTGAGTCTATGAAAACTCAACTTTATTTCAACTTATTGTTCAAACATTTTTACAATTTTTGTTGTAGTTTATTTATTTATTTATTTACAGTACTGGGATTTGAACTTAGGACCTCGCACTTGCTAGCTCTACCACTTGAGCCTCTGTACCACCCCAAACCTATAAAGGATTGTTTGGAAACACGTCCTGGGAATTTTCCTGTGTCACTTGGATGTGTTTATGCGTAGTATGTTCAGTCTGCAAGAAGTTAAAAAGTGACTTTCACTTTTAGCATTGAGTATGTTGCTTTCTTTAAAAAAGAATTCCCAATAAGTTTGGTTATTATATCTTTTCATGGCTTAAAAAAAAAACCCTCAAGTCCCATGTCTTCATTCCAAAGATTTTTTTTTCTTATGAGAAACAGTAAAAATTGCTCAAGAATAGGGCAAGTAGATGGCCTATTGTTTCTAGAAGGTTTGACCCCAGAGGTTTCTGTTGATTTTTAAAAAGTAATTTAATTGTGGGTAGTTTTCCAAGGCCACATTGATATATATATATATATATATATATATATATATATTCATATTGCTGTATTTAATTTTGCTGTATTTGTGTTTGGATACACTGGTTTTGTTGTAGTGGTTTCTAGGTTTGGAATCTCCTCGTAATTGTATTATTATAGTCCTATAGGGCTTGAAGTATGTTATTTTAGAAAAGAGTCGTACTACCTGATTCCAGTTCAAAATAATGCTGTCAGGTTTAAAGTAAGAACTCTTGTTTTTCTTTTTAGATGGAGAGTTGTAGAGAGGGCAGGGGCGGGGGGGGGGGGGAGGGAGCCCCAAACTTCATGAGGCTGTGGACCTCATCAGATCAGGGAGAATTCTCTTTCCACTTTTGGTATGGAACCTGCCCCCTTCAGAGGAATCCTAGGGAAGCTGGAGGTCAGAGCGGCCAGGCCCGGGGCCTCTATTTCTGTCCAGTGAGGCACTGCCCGACCGGCAGGGACGGGATGCCATTGTTTCTATTGTGGGCTGCCTTCTCTGCTCTTGCCATTTCAGTGATATGCCGGGCATGCGATCTGTCAACAGATGCTGGTGGCTCTCGATGACGTGGGTAGCGGGCTAATGGATGCAGTGCCTAATTTTACCCACAGTCGAGAGGCCTGGGGACAGTGGTAATCCTGGCCCCCCTGGTGGGGAGTGTCTTCCTGCCAAGGGCCTTGGGAGGAATAAATGGAGTGCTTTTCATGAAAGGTCACTCGGGACTTAGAGAGCTCACCATCCCATCCCAGAGCTCCTCACGTCCTGGTCCATGCCCACGTCATGGCCATGAACTGTGGAGATTGGCCTATAAGGAGGGCTGCTTTGCCGGGCGCTGGTGGCTCATGCCTGTAATCCTAGCTACTCAGGAGGCTGAGATCTGAGGATCGTGGTTCAAAGCCAGCCCGGGCAGGAGAGACTGTGAGACTCCTATCTCCAATAGACCACCAGAAAACCGGAAGTGGCGCTGTAGCTCAAGTGGTAGAGCGCTCGCCTTGAGTTGAAGAGCTGAGGGACAGCACCCAGGCCCAGAGTTCAAGCCCCACGACCGACAAAAAAAAAAAAAGGAGGGCTGCTTTTACATCGCACAACCCCCACAGGGGAGACAATCTTCCATCTTGTAACTATTGTAGAAAAAAAGAGGGCGAGGCCGATGCCTGTAGTTAGAACTTTTCCCAGACAGGACACGGTTTGGAGACAGCTAGTTTCAGGTAACCCTGGTATTTCTCCAGGAGGCTGAGAACTTAAGTTTGAACCTCCACCTCCAGGGAGGCCTGGGCGGGGGGAACCTTGTGGGAATGGCAGTGCCATGTCCCCCCTCAAGCACGGGGCGCTGACCTTATAGGGGGATGGTGCATCCTTTGTTCCCCTCCCTCAAGGTTCCTGACATCCTTCCTCTGTATGTGGCCGTAAACTAACCTATGGAAGTTCCAGGTCTGCTGCTGTCCTTGCCATTTTTATATTTTTGTGCCGTCCTGGTACTTGAACTCAGGGCCTAAGCACTCAAAGCTAGCACTCGTACCACTTTGAGCCACTGTTCCACTTGCGTGTCCTCTCTGTTTTTATAGATGAATCCCAGCTGACATGTTGTCTGGAAGCATTGGCTGGGGAGCAGCTGCCCACAGGGTGGGGCTTTGACTGAGAACTCAGGGCCCTGCCCCCTGCCCATCTCTTAACTCTCCCGTCCAGAGGACAGCTGCTGGTGGGAACTCCTCCCCCTGGCTGGTGTGACAGTTCTCCCTGGAGGAAAGGAACTAATTGTTAGGACCAATTAACAAGCTGGAGGAATTTCTCAGCTCAACTCTGCAGTTCAGTCCCTAAATCTTTAGTCTCAATTTGTTTATCTTAGAACCAGAGATAAAATTCAACTTCCCTAACTGTGTAGGGCCTTTTCCCCTCAGGGGTCAAATGGCTAAACAATGATTACTATGGGAGGGGTTTTTACTAGCTGTTGAGGGACCTGTAAATGTTTGATTATTATCTTTGGGTTTGTTATTTTTAATTAGTAGTCCACACTTTGGACGTGGTGGGGTGGGGGTGAGGGGAAGCTGAAGGACAGGGCTTGGTCCTTAGTGACTCTTTTGTTTTCCTCGGTGGTATACTGTGTGTGGTATACTATTGGGAAAATAAAACCACTGTAGCTACTTTGTTTGGGGCAGTACTCGGATTTGTACACAGAGCCTTGGTTTCAAACCCAGGTCTCTACCGCTTCAGTTTGACTTTAACCATTCTTTTTTGTGTGCTGATACTGGGGCTTGAACTCAAGGCACTGGTGCTGTCCCTGAGCTTCTTTTCCCAAGGCTAGTGTTCTACCACTTGAACCACAGCTCTTCTTCTGGCTTTTTTGGTGCTTCATTGGAGATGAGTGTCATGGACTTTCTTGCTGCCCGGGCTGTCTATGAACCATGATCCTCACATCCTAGCCTCACTGATTTTAACTCCTTTAAGTGTATAATTCAATGGTGTTTTATTGCAACAACCATCATCACTATCCACTATCCACTTATCATTCCCAATGAAACCCTTATCCATCCTATAGTTGTCTTCCATTCTTTTCTCCCCTGATATACTTCTTAAGATTTACATACTGAAACATACAGAACTTTAAAAAGAAAATTAAATGCCATGTGCTTATCTGAAGGACCAAGTGTCCAGAAGTTTGAATAAGGATGAGTTTACCAGGTTCACTGGAATAATGACTATTTGGCTGGGTGTGCAACCCTGTTGCACTAACAAGATGGCTTTGTACCCCACATTTCACGGGATACTCCCTTTTCCCCTCACAAAGATA